GCTACTGACGCACACAATTTTGCGCAGACTCACTTTCATTATTCTACTCCAACATATATTCTTCTCTTTTATTTTGTCCTTTTTTAAGGCGACACGCGCGACGATAGATAACGACAGTAGCACAAAGACATAATACTTTCTACATTCTGCACGTGTGTTATGGCGATACTTTTTGTTCTTGTCGGTCTTCTCCTGATAATATTTCTTTTATACTTCAAACTAAAGTACTTTACCCTACGTGGCCCTTTGCCTGGGAAATCGCCTCAATTTTTATTCGGAAATATCTTACACACAGGTATATTAAGTGGATTTTCACCAGCCACTACTAGCTTGCAAATGCAAGCTGAATTTGGTGATGTTTATCAATTTTGGCTCGGACCCTTGCGAGTCATCGGTATATGTAACATTGAAGATATACAACATGTCTTTGGCCATCGACACATCTACGAACAAGGCAATATATACAGAGATCATCATACCCTTTTCTTTGCAGATGCAATGCTTTGCAATATAGGTCAGTGATAGATGATAGTCTTGTTGAGAAGTTCGATTTTGTAGCAATATAGTTTGTGATTCCTGGAAGAAAAGGATATTTTGTCAATCAAATATGAAGAATAAAAACTTCTCAGCACAGTTCTTTTGGGACTAAAATGCGGAACTCACATATATTTTTCTAACTAAAATACCTGCGTTATGAATCTTCACTCTTTTAAATATTTACATTTAGCTGTCTGTCATGGGGAACTGTTTATAATGGCGGGGAAGAATGTAAGGTAACTGCAAAATTCTCGACTTGTCATTTACACTCACTATTTTTCTTCGAAAAATATAGGTGAGCGCCACAAAAAGATTGAGATTAGTAGAATTTTTTTTCTGAATTTTAAACAATTCACTATATTCTACATACTTTCAAATTGTGTATACAAGGAAATAGTCATATTCAGTTATTGTATTTCTATTCCAGGAGCTAAATACAAGCGTCATGCAAGCATAATTATTCCTCTGTTTCGTCGGAGTAAAATCTTAGGCAATTTGGAACTAATTAATGATTGTACAGACAAATTACTTGATCGATGGCGTTCAAAGAATGATGATCCTAATCGTATTCATCTCGATATCAGAAAACAATGTCAAGATCTATTGCTCGCAATCTTTGGTTTAATAGGTTTCGACTATGATCTACAAACGTTGATAGATGATGATGGTGGTGTCAAAACCAATAAACTCACAAAGTCTTTACGCGAATTTTTGGATATTTTTATGTTAACTATATACATGCCATCAATCGTGACCAAAATCTATCTAAAGTTCAATCCTCGATATCACCAAGCGTCCAATATTATCAACGAATATTTGGATAGCATAATTGAGCAAGAACGAAACAAAACACAAAAATCGAATGATGAACAAAAGAGAACTTGTCTTATTGCATCACTCATTCATTCATTACATGAAGATGAGAACAGTGAGGCGACAAAGTCAGACGACAAACAGAACGGTAAATTAACTGTTCTCAATTTCAGTATTACATTTTTTCGATGAAATTATCGTTTTCATATTGAAAAACTACTCTGCACTTTTAGTATTTATATAAACCGTATCTTGAAGATCACGATCGCTGATTGTTCGTAGTGTTGTCAAAGCTTTCGAATATCCAGAAAAATTCCGGATATTGAATATTTCCTATCTTAATTATATTTTACTTGTTGGTTAACATTCTAAATTTATCATAACTGATTCAATAGAGGTTTATAGAGTTAGCTTCTATTGGTCTAATTAGAAGACTCATAGGTTTTCTTTTTTTCAGCAAAAACAGTAAAAAAACCATAATTTATACGGTAAATTTATTTTTTCTCATACTTTCAGAATGTTTGATGAAAACGAAGAGGCAGAGATTTTAGTAGAAAATGAACTATTCACTAACAACACAACACAAACATCAACTGAAAGTGATGTAAAACAACAAAAATAATGAGGAGAATAGAAAAGAAGTACTCAGATTCAAATGGTTAAATAAATTCAAATTTCAAAAATAATATAGATCCGATAAAAGTCAATTAACATGAATAGAATGAAAATATCAGTTTGTACTAAAAATAACGTGTAAATTAAGAGCGAGATATGTAATTGATGAGTTCTTAGAATTGAGTTAACTGTGTTTTGATATGTAGTTTTTTTATTCAAATATATTTTGTAGATATAATGAATGTCGTTATACATAATCTATTCGAATAAAACACATTTTAGGCGGTTAAAACTGACCCTCAAAAATCTTCCGGATTTTTTTCGAGTTTCAAAATAAAAATTTCGGAATTTTCTAGAATTTTGAGATTTACATCTGGCAACTCTGATCGTTAGTCTTGGTGCTCTCTCCTCTACTGTATGTACTAATCTCAAGTACTTGATTAAGTAAGATAGAAACTAGATTGTATTTTTATGAGTAGTTTATTGTGTCAAATATTTACTCAAGGGTTTGACTAGGATTCAAGTACTTAGGTAAATACTTGAACAAGTATCCAAGAATGAGACCAATTCATTTCAATGGTAATAAAGTTGATTGTGGTTGACATTCGGAATGGCTTATGCACAAGAATCTAATTATGTTTTAAGAGTAGTTCTTCATTCTGAATTTGAATTTCGTAGTTCACACTCATGAAAATGTAAGCCTGGATTTTTCGGGTGAAAATTTTTTGAGAATGTTATTAATAATTTCTCTCAGATTGTACCATATCATTTTACTGTTTGCTTTCAAAAACGATTATTACACCTCTTTGAATGTGCTTAATATCGTAAACTACTGACGAAAATATAAAGTACTTTCTACATTACAATTGCAAATGCTTGTTCATGTACTTGGTGAAAACATCATGTAATCGAGTATTTTAGATCAGTACATTCACTAGGATTGTTTAGGGCTTTCACGCACTGAGGTACTTCATGAAATACTCTTTTTTCTTATCGCCGGTTACGAAACAACATCGTGTGCACTCGCATGGTTCATTCATCTAATGAGTAAAAATCCTCGAGTTCAAACAAAACTCAAGGCTGAACTAGGCAATAACAAATATCAACGCTTGTCTACCGAAAAGCTCGACTCTCTTGATTATTTGAATTGTGTTATTCAAGAAGTATTGCGTTTTTCTTCACCTGCCATTACCACATTTCGCACTGTAACTATTGACGATCGGCTACCCGCAAGTGGAGCTCAGTTGTATCAAGGCGATGAAATAATGATTAATATCTATAATTTAACAAGAGACAAACGCTATTGGAAGATCGATCCGAATCTATTTTATCCTGAACGATTTCAAGGCTAAGACAAAGATCATCATCCATATGCATTGATTCCATTCGGTGGTGGTCATCGGCAATGTATTGGACAAGATTTAGCTCGATTAGAGTTGAAAGCAATCATCAGCAGATTAATGCAACAAGTGACTTTCAGTGATGGTGGTCCAGAAGTTAATGCAGGTGGACACAATCAGACAGTTACGCTCATGCCAAAGAATGTCGGAGTTACTATTACATTTGACTAATTCTCAATATTATTCAGACATTCACTTTCTTAAGATTAAAAGGATAAATTTTATTGTATCATCGAACATTTGTATAACACTTAAAAACGCATTTACCTTATTTTAGTAATCTGTATCCAATCACGAGATATAAACCCTCAAATTTACCTAATAAACAAAAATAAAGTCTCCGAATTTATGTTACAACCCAATATTTTCAAAAGAAATTAGTTTTATTGATGGCACTCCAGGAAAAGGATCTTCTTATGTAGCAGCGTTGCGCGATGATAAAACCTTCCTAGAAGTCCGACACTGAAGCAAAAAAAGTCATTCGTATAGCATGAGTAGAGTATAACAAGTTGCATCGAATGACGTTTCAACAAACGTTCCACGATAATTTTAAAAAAAGTGTCTGAACAGTAACAGCATTAAGTTTTGACAAGCTGATTCCCCTTCTACTTCATTAACATGTGATCAGTTTTTCAAATTAAAATGTCATTATAGATATTAAAGCTTTCATGCTTTTGAATCGATACTTCAAAACAAAAAAAAATTCACATTTTTCAATATTATTAGAATTTTAATGATTTCACAAAGAGACACTTTTATTATAAAACTTTACAATTGATATATTTATCACATCTTTTGTACTTCATATTCGTATTCTTCAATCATCATCCGATGTCTTTTTTTAACAGCTATTATCTGTTCATGCACTACAGGATATTCACTGATGATCTTAATGAATTTATACACAGTTGGTAGATTGATATTTTCTTGAATCGATTTCTTTTTGTTCATTCGTTGTTCNTGAAATACTTAGATTGAACATTTGACAATAAATCGCTAATCTTCACAGTGAGAATCGGACCCCAAATTTGGCCTTTCTAGTCTTGTTCAAGAAATTTTTGCTACCAAAGTTCATTTGCACAAAATTCTGAAAACGTCATTCTACGCAGTGTGATCTGCTCTTTCAAATGAGACTAGTCTCGACTAATTCTATGGCGCTGATTCGACCAATTGGTCCTATACACTGGGATCCTGTTGTTTGAAAATGACATATAGTATAAAGCAAATATTATCTTATGATAAGATACTTTCGATACCATCAACAGATAGTCCATGGTCAATAGTATATATGGTAAAAAAATCTCGATTATACCTCTTGTCGTTCTTTAGAAAATGAAAATTTACTGAAACATTTTGCGCTGAAAGGTACTTTAAAAGTAGCCTACCCCCTCATACTTGCAACGTCTATGTCTCCAGATTGGCTATTGCGTTTGAGCTGAAATTTTCATTTTCTTCCTAACTTTGTTAGACCTACTTACTATAAAAATACCAGTCAAATCGGTGACATCGATTGAGCAAGGGTAGGCGTGGCTTACGTGCAATGCCTCCTAGATACGAAAAGTTAAAATCTATTTTGAGAAAATTTCACCATTAAATTGCTTTGATTAAAGACGTCATACATTTCAATACTTGTGAATGCCAAAATTATTCAACAAGGCTTATTTTCAATTGTTTTCTGTTGCCGTAAGTGCTAGAACGAATTCAAATAGAGAAAATAATTTCCAGGAGGAATATCAAGAAATAAAAATCATTATCAGATTTCCAAGAATAGGTAATCCAGAAAACCGAATAAATAATTTTTCAATGTCTATAAAATGAGACGTCTCTTAGTTATCTGTGACGTTTTTTAGTTGATATACAGAAGTCCTTAAAGTTATCTTCTTTTTTTGACTCCTATAGAAAATCTACTTTTTCACCTTCAATGAAATTGTTGTATATCAGCTCAAAAAGATCGCAGAGAAGTCGAAGATGTCTTATTTAGTAAACAATTATTTACTCAAACCTCGGCACAATTGTTTTTTTTTTCATTACATTCCCGTTGAAAAGAATTTTCACTATTTAGAATCTTTCAAGCGTTTATGATAACAAAAAAACAAAAAATGAAAATAAAATCGATTGAATAATTTTGGTGCCCACTGTATATATATATTGAAGTCGCTAATCTCAAAAAATGAAAAAATAAAGACTTCTAGACAGAGATTAAGAATTTTAATCTCTATCTAATGATTTAACGGTTCTTTTTTTTTAGCACAGCTGAATTCTACTTTACATTTACTTGACCACCAAAGCATTCCATTTATTTTGCGTTTTCTTTTTGTTTACTTTTCATACACATCTAAAAAAAAAGAAAAAACTAATATATTTAAGATCAATAGACAAAATTTGCGGCGTAATTTGTCGATATCTTTTTTGCGTTTGTAATTTATTCAAAAATAGAAAAAATTAAAAAACCGTACTTCATAAACTATGCTAGTACTCAGAGGCCTCATCCTGTAGAAAGCTATGAATCTTCCTACAATTTTTTTTGTTTCATTACGGTACAATTTCTTATTTCTTCCTTGGATCTCTTTTTGTTTTTTGTTGAATATATTTTTCTAAGTTGATTTCAAATAAATGATTGTTTTTAGGAAAATGGTATCAATGTTGTACACATTGAATCTCGTCGTTCACGTCGTACAAATTCTGAATATGAAATCTATGTTGATTTAGAAGCTGATCGTACTCGTGTCAATGAATCTATGCAACAATTAAAACGTCAAGTATCTTGTGTTCGAATTGATTTAAATGATTTAGTTGAAAATTTAAATCAAAATAACGACGAGGTTTTTGTTAATAATAATACTCCAAATGGTAATGGAGACCTAGATCTACCACCATCGTCACCTTTTCTTGATAAAAACGGTGACCCGATAAAGCGCAAAAGTAAGTTGAATGAGGAAAAAAACTAATTAAAAAAAAAGAGAGGCATCAGATGCGTTATATTGATCTTTATTGAGTACAATTGAAAAAAAGATACTTCGACTATTTTTAAAAGAGCAGAGTCCATATTATGATACTATTTCGGTGTGACATTCTGTATTTATTATAGAATAACCTATTTGTATGAACAGACATTGATTAATTGAATGTCATATTAGTTGAAATTGAATTAAAACTATTGATCTATTTACATATGATTATATAATCATGTAAACGAGAATAAAGATGAAATATTTCGTTATTTATGTATACATTCTAAATGTTATGTATATAATCACGCAGACGATGCATGTTAAACGTATGATTAAGTGTATGCTTTTATTACTATGTGCTTTTCACATATTCGATTGATATTCATTAGAATGAATACAACCAAAATTAATATTCAATAAAATTTTTCTACTTATTAAATGGCGTCGTTAAGGCACCCGTTTTGTCTATATATAATATGAGAAAAATCTATATTCATTTTATTGTTTTTGTACTGTTTTTGTGAACATTACAAAAATTAAAATGACATCTGATAAGGATGCTTTAACAGATCCATTGGAACTTTCTTCAGTTCATTTAAAATCTGCCTTCGATCGAAATTTGTATATATCACCAAATACAGATGTTTCACTATCTACACTTTGTTATGATGGAGTTTTATGTTATTTATCAAATATAATTGGTCAAGGGTCACTAAGTGAAATTGAAGAAAATTTAAAACGATATTTTTCATCTGAAGATATTAATCAAGCATATTTGAATTTACAAAATTGTTTGAGTTATCGTTTGTCAACATTAGATCCTAATAAAGATCATTCTGTCTATAGTATTTTTCAACAATGTTCAATCAATTTAATTGATTCAACATTGTTATTATCAGTAATGGAAACAATACATGAAAATAATTTATTTTCATATTTACCATTATTTGTTTCCAATGATTGGCTTCATATGATTCGTAGTGTACAAAATCTTGAAAAACTTGATGCAGCATCAATATCTATTGCTAATCTTCAAGAACAACTATCTAGTTTAAAAGATCATTTAACACCACTGAATCAGTTTGTTGATAATATGGATAATTTTCCAACAATAATACAATCATCACCATCATCACCAAATCATATATGTTGTTTACGTACATATTGTACACATAGTACGCCTATTTATAATTCAATAACCTCAACTGATTCACGATCATCATCATGGACTTCATTAAATCTTGATATTAATCCAATGACAAGGATTTCTGGTTTTATTCGAAATCCAGTAACAAATTTTATGATGCCAACAGCACCAACTCTTTCCGAAAAGGAATTATCAATAAATTCGACGGATGATTATATGAGTAGTGATGAAGATCAAGAGTCATCATTTAAATTCTTCAGTCGAAGTATATCTTATCAACCATCAATACAAAGAACAGGCTCAATACTTGTGAAGCGTGATGATACTTTATGGGTATATCCAGCTGCAGCTATGCAACTAAAAACTCATTCACTTTTTTCATCTGTTCATGAAGATACAGCTGAATATGAATTTCAACCAAGGCGTTTACGATCAAATAGTTGTGATGATGATTTTCGTAACAAGAAAATACTAAATCAATTATTGAATAAAAAACTTAAAAAACCGAGAAGGCCTTTAATAAAACCAACAAAAGGTTTGAAAACAATTACAAATATCTTTTTTTTTTAAATAACTAGAAATCATCATTTTCTCAAGCGAAATAAATCATTTGTCATCTTCTTTTTCTTCTATTTTAGTTGAAGCTGAAGAAACACCTTGGTTTCCACGTCGAATCAGTGATTTAGATCAATGTTCAAATAAAGTTCTTTTATATGGAGCAGATCTTGATGCTGATCATCCAGTATGTATTCAAAAATAATTACTTTAAACATACTAAAGACAACTTTGTTCACTATTGAATGCTGCGTGAACCATTTTTTTCTTCTAATACTTTAAATTTCATCGAAATTGAGAAAAAGAAATGAATTCAACCACCAGACTGGAAAATTAATATTCCTTCATTTTCTGCTTGAGCTATCTTGTAGTTAGATATTACGACATGTTTTTTCTTCTAATGTATGTTTCTATCTTTGAGTTGAAACACGAATAGTCGATTTCATAATATTTCCTAGTGTTCTTAGAGTTGTTAAATGAAGAACTACCAAGACTTCTTTTTTCGGGGCCTATTTCTTCTGCGGGGTTTATTTACTTATTAAGGATTTATTAGTTATGATGCTATTTCAATACATCCACACCCACATCCACACCCACATTCACACCCTCACCCACACCTACATCCACACCCACATCCACACCTTCACACACACCCTCATGCATATTTTCTAAACTTTAGTCAATAAAGCTATCAAAAGTAACCTTTAGTTCTATAAGAAACATGATAAATATACTAATTTCGACGATTCATAGTTGCATCATCATCAAAGATATTAGTAAACATTCAATGACACTTGCTTGAAAAGATATTATGTAAATATTTTCTAGTAAATAATTTTATTTTCTAGGGTTTTACAGATAAGGTTTATCGAGCACGTCGTATGTATTTTCATGATTTGGCTATAGCATATAGACAGTATGTATTATATGTTCTTCTTTTTTTTTTTTGTTTTTCGTAATAAATAATGATTAATATATTGTTTTATTGTTCAGTGGAGATCCAATACCACGTGTTGAATATACTAAAGAAGAAACTGATACATGGTAAAAAAAATTATTTCGAATTAAATCATATTTTTATTTTCTTTATATGAAAATAGGGGTGCAGTATTTCGAAATTTAAATAAATTATATCCAACACATGCTTGTAATGAATATTTGGCTAATTGGCCATTATTAAGAGAAGAATGTGGTTTTCGGTAGATTAATAATTCTTATTTAATATTGCTAATTATCTTTTTATCTTTATATTTCAGTGAAGATAATATTCCACAATTAGAAGATATATCTCGTTTTCTTCGCGAACGTACGGGTTTTACATTACGTCCAGTTGCTGGTTATTTATCACCAAGAGATTTTTTATATGGTCTGGCATTTCGTGTATTTCACTGTACACAATATATTCGGCATTCATCAAATCCATCATATACACCTGAACCGTAAGTTTTTAAAATTAAATTCAAAATTGTTTTTTTTCTTTTTTTTTGTTTACAACAAAAATAGAGATTGTTGTCATGAATTATTTGGTCATGTTCCACTCTTAGCTGATCCTAATTTTGCTCAATTTTCACATGAAATTGGTTTAGCTGCTATTGGCGCTTCAGAAGATGATATCAATCGATTGGCAACGGTAAGTCAGAATTTAAACAAATTAATATTCAGCTAACACCTGACTTTAAAACCAATCCTCTTACAATACCTTTTCCTAAGTACATCAATATAGAAAAGTTCGAATCGTGAGAAATATGTGATGGACTGGAATTTATGAAATTCGCAGTTATCTATTCATCAATACAGTTGCTTATGAATTAGTTAGGCTTTTATTTTTCTGTTTTTTTTATTATAATGAGGTTAGGACCAAGTTATCCGTGTGTGTTACTGACGAGGACTCTACTCGAGCTGTAATCCCCGTCCTTTAAACTCGTATTGGATCCATCAAAAGAGCTCGATATGCTTAGAACCATTCTAAAAGGGCTCATGTCAAAGAACAATAAGAACTGAGTGGTGACCGTTTTACTAGATTTTCAATCTGAAATTCAGCCCATAAATAGATCTAATGATTCCTAGAATATCCTGAAAATTTTAGCCGAAAGGAATACTCCTTTGTCCAGATATTGAATTTCTAACTCGATTTTTGTGGCAAGCAACTATTTGTTAACAATATAATATCTCGATAAATGACTGTTCTTTTCACCTGAAATTTTCAGGATATTATTGCGTATGCTTCAAGTCGAAATTCTCTTATCTGACTTTTCAGTAAAACAAGGGGTCATAACTCAGTTTCAAAGACACATTGACACAAATCCTTGTAAATCCAATATGAACTCAAATGGTAGATTACAGTTCGCATAGTTCTCTCGTGAGTCTTAAAATCTATAGAGAGAAGATTGCATTAACACATTTCACACAGACAGCATCAATATCTTCAAGCACTTAGTAAGCTCATAATGGATAATACTAATAGATGCATACGCATCAGTTATCGATATCTTTCCATTCTTTCCATTAGTAACTATCACAGACAATCAAATCAATATAGAGTAGTTTGTATGACGTGCAGGGAACCAAAGATTGAGGTGTCCTCCTCCCTCGAAGTTTATAGCTCTTGTACCATCTATTGCGTGCCTGTGCTCCCAAAAATAGATGTTCGTGCCTTCAGCAGAGAAAATCTATATGAAATTCTGTCTGTAGGGATGCAAATGTCAATAAAGTCATGATGATGATGAAGTTCTCATTTAACATAACAGTGTCTCTAGAGTTACATTTTTTTTCTCTAGTGTTATTTTTTTACAATTGAATTTGGTCTATGTCGTCAAAATGATGGTCTTCGTGCATATGGTGCTGGTTTACTTTCATCATGTGCTGAATTACAACATGCATTAAGTGATCAAGCAAAAAAATTACCATTTGATCCTGATGTTGTATGTAAAACAAAATGTTTAATAACAACTTATCAAGATCAATATTTTGTTTCGGCTAGTTTTATCGATGCAAAAGAAAAAATGAGGTAAAAAAAGACGTTAATTTTTTTTTTTTTTGTTAAAATAACAAATCTTGATTATTTTCTAGACAATTTGCTTCATCAATAAAACGTCCTTTTGCAGTACGTTATAATCCATATAATCAAAGTATTGAAATTGTATCAAATACTCAACATGTTGCACAAATAATATCTGATCTTAAAGGTGACATGTGTATTATATTTGATGCATTAAAAAAAATTGAAAATAGCATTTGCAATGACAAATAAAACACTATTCAATGTATATTTAAATATTGTATTCGTAATTTATTGTTAAAAAAGCGAACAAAAAAAAAAAAAAAAAAACTAAATCATACAAAAAAAAATCTTTTGTTTTTCGTTTTTGTGTCGTTCAATTTCAATGGTTTCGGTAGTTCATTTTTATTATTATTATATGAAAAAAAAAGCACATATTATTGTTTTTTTTTTTTTTCTTTTTGTATTATACATCAAATGTCACACGTTCATCATTTTGTGTTATTAAATTAACTGGTTTTGAAAATGGATTTAACCATGCTAAACCAACTTGAGAACCGAAAACTATTTTTAATGATGAAATAAATGAATTATGACGACGACTAATAGTTTTTTCACCTTTAAAAGATTCAATACCCTAGAAGGCAAAAAAAAAAAACACGAAACAAAAGATTTTTTTTTTTTATTACAAAGAAAATAATATTTAAAAAAATACATACAGTCGTATCAGTATATACTGAATATAATTGTGTTCCAGTCATAATTGCAGTAAAAATTGAAAATGATATCGCTTCAAATGCAAGAAATATAAGAAAGATAATAGTGGCCGGTGGTGACCATGTTGTACATGCTAATTTATAGAAATAAAATAAGATTATAAAAGAAATAATTTCAATATGACTAACCAGTCCAATCAGATTTAATACATGTTGTTATGTGAATACCGAGAAGAACAAGTGCATAGAGTGAAATAACACAAGTATAAAACTATAACAAAAAAATAAATTAATATAAAATAAAATTGTTTTACTTTGAATATATTTTTGTTAATATCTACTAAATACATTTTAAGTAAAATATAATGAGCACTTTTCTTTCAATATTTATGCATTACATCTTGACTTCATCATGCTAACAAACAGTTACAGGCAAGTCTTTCATATGTCGACAAGATTTGAACCCGTTAAAAGCACTCATTATTGAGAGATTTTCAGTTTTTTTTTTTTTTGTTTAACCTATAAGTGTTCAACTGTAATCGTTTGTCGGCTACACAAGATGATTTTTTTTTTCTTGTTACTAGAAATTTATTAATTCAACTTCTTTTAATCAAAGGTAAATCAGTATTTGTTGACATAATTTTATTCTACTAACGATTAATACAAAAACGATAAGATGTTACTACCGAAAATTGTTTTTTATTTTAAATATCTATGACTAGAGTCTATTCTAGAGTTCGTCGAGTTGATTTCGAACCGAAACCCGACGAGCTCTAGTCGCCTGAGAAATGTGTAAAATGCACTAGCCATCGAATATGCACAACCAGAAAAAAGTATCACATATCTTCGAGTCGATTTTTTCAATGCTAATTAGAAAATTTCATTTGAGATTATTAGAGTACGATGCGACTGAGTTCATGTTCGAAAATTTTGGGTTCGTCAAGTCCTAGTCCATCCCCTTTTTCTATGCACCCCATGATTGTTTACCATATGGCAATAAGCATAACATCAGATTTTTTTTTCGTTCTGCACGTAATTGATAGAACATATGGTGTTTACATTTAAGAGTCTGTTGATGAGACTAGAAATACGCACCTACTATTTAAAATAAGGAGGTGCTCACATAGAGAGGTTTTAAAATTATATTCGATGATAAAAATAATAATCGATACGAGTCTTATTTTTATTTTTTAATTAATATTTTTCTAGTTTTTATTATGCCTTATTGAGACTCATAGACTAAGAAAAAAAAAGTCTGTCTTTCGAGAATCACTTATCAACATTCTTGACATTGATCAAACTGCTTTTTTAATAATTAAAATGTAATATATGATTTTGAATATCTGAATAGTCCTTGAGGAAAACTTTTTCGATATTATTCTTTTATGATATTTATATATCAATATGTGATGCTATCAGTACGTAGAATTATTTATATTTACTTTATAAATGTATTCAGTGCTAATATAAAACTCATTCATTACACAATATCTATTAAGTCTAATTGTCATATGTAGTCGTCTGAGAATTGATATAGGATGAACTACTCATTGAATACAAAAATCCGAAAAAAAAGTATTTCATAACTTTTGGGATCACAATCCAATTCCGATTAGAAAATTTCATTAAGAATATCAAAGTACGGTTCGAAAATTTTAGACCCGACAGACTCTATTCAAAAATACTTGATCAAAAAAACAAAAAAAAACTTTGCAAGGCATTGTTGAGGGTGTTCGAAAGAAACTTCAGACTATGTGGAGAAACGAACCATATTCAGTTTGTTAAGTGCAAATTTTTTTTTTTTTTTGTAGTGTTTCATGCTCGTGGTAATAAAAAAACAATTACAGCTAATAAAATAACTGAGCTGTAGAGCCTGACATTTTTTCCATTTCTTTTGCGATATTTGTTATATTAAGCCAATTCACTAAAAGAAAAGATCAAATAGGAAGATATTAGAAATTGTTAAAGTGTTTTTTCCAGTTAGAGTATGGCGACCTTCTGAAAATCACCTCTGGGAATTTTGTGATTTTTGTGGCACGTACTATGTCTATTCTCTCAAGAATAAGTGTTCGTCTTCTCAGAATTATAAATTCTCTTTCGAAAGATAAAATAATCTGAATTATTCTATAGTTAAAAACAATATTTTTATTACTTTTCTTTAGATTTTTTTTTTTATATCTTACTGTAAATAAAATAAAATATTTTTGATTATTTTGTCCAACACAATTATTAACAAATACACAATGATGATCCATTCGTTTAATACATCGTTTACAAACACTATTTATATAGAAATATTTTATAATAAAAACAAAAATAAAATAAAATAATCTTATTTTAGTACCTACAGTGATGCGCTCTTGGTGGTCTTATACTTTTACACATAGCACATCGATAAACAACAGTACCATTTGCATATTTAAATAAATTCTCTGGTGTTGCATTATCTAATGGAATAGCACCCTAAAGAATACATTCATATTTTTAGAAACTTTTTATTATTTGAAAAAATATGTTACTCTTTAATAAAAAAACAACTATCATGTTCATTACTTAAATTATTTTAAATAAAATAAATATTTCAGTTTGTAAAGTACAGATTTTAAAGAGAAATTCCTATGAAAATAATTTTCATATGCGAATTGTTATTAGAATACATGATTTATGCTCATAAATAATGAAAATTTCATTCATTTGAATTTTTTTAATACAAAACAAATTAATTCGGATTGAATTCAGTATTTTTTTTCCAATTCAATATCCATTGAACTTTCGTTTAAAATGTATTTTAAGATTTTTTTTTTTTTGTCATTCTAAGTTATTAATATTAAACTAGATAAGAATAATTTCTAAATAAAATAAACAATTCATACTGGATTAGAAAACATTGTTCGACAATGGGATGAAATAGCAAGTATTTCTAATGCATGAAATATAAATAAATTAATTAAATTAAATAATGTTGAATGACTTTTAGGTATTAATATAACAAATATAATAACAAATTGAGCATAAATAAATAAAAACCATGTTGTAAAACCACATGATAAACCATATGGATCTCTTATACACCAATCGGATACAGTTGGACAACATTCACAACGACAACATGCACATGAACATAAACATTCATCATCATCATCATTATATTGATCATGATAATACGCTGAACGTGGTACAATATCTTTAATAATAACACCTGATTCATCTGTTGTTGATGGTATATCATTTGATTGTGTTGACCAATCTGTATTTGTATCACATGTATAACGATGAACTTTAACTGCTGATGAACCAACTTCAATTTCATCATTTGTATGATCATCATTTGAATATATTGGTATAAGTTTTGTCAATGACATTTCGTATTGTTTTTCAAAAATTTGTAAATATGTCTTTATGTTATTATTTCTCTTTTGACAATTCTTTTCTTTTTTTTGTGTGTAAAAATGATACTAGTGACATCTTATTGATAGGAAAAAAATCGTTTTATAAATGAAGAATGTTTTTTTTTTCTATAATAAAACAAAAGAAAATTTTGTTTGTAAATTAATATAATAAATATATTGGAGGTTAGTTGCTTAGTAACGAAATGAAGCATGGTTGATAGTATAATGAATCATTGATGACATCATACCTCTTGAAGTTTTTCTTTTCTCTTTCCAACTTGTTGTCAATGTCATTTTTTTTTCTCTTCCTTCTTCTCTCTTCTCTTTATTCCATCACTTTATGCAACTCTAGGAAAAAACGGAACAAGAAGGAAGAGAAAATATTTTATCTTAATAGGTTGTCTCGTAATGAGAGACATAAAAAAAAAAAAAAAAAAGAAAAACATAGAAATGCCTATTGATACGATGTTGAAAACCATTTGATTTGATTCTTTTCTCTTTGATGAATTTATTACAATGTTTTGTCAATATTTAATTGAAAGTATGAATACAGCAAAATATATGGATATATATATATATTCCATATCTTTTATCATGGATCAATTCATTTTTCATTGAACTACCATCTCAAATTCTCTTTCATCTCTCTACCATCGAAGAATGTTCTAACATAAATTCATTTCTTTGTCTTTATATCTATTATTTCTATTTCTTTTTCTCAACTAGTTGGCACTAGCAAAAGAATGCATAGGAAAGAATAGAAAGACACCGATGAGATATAGAGTAAAATAAATTGTTATATTTTTCTTTTTTTCTACGATTACCTTCTACTTCATATACTAACAAAAATACAATGAATAGACAATCTCGGATGTTATTCTTCTTTCAGATCTATGCATATATAAATTTAACAATCATATATATAATACAATGATAAACGGTGAACATGTACCCGGCGTGTAAGTGAATGGATTTTCTAAGCAAAAAATTGAAGGGAAATTATTTTTTTGTTTTGTTTTTGAATTATAGAATTCCAGAAGAAGATGATATTAAAACACCAACATCTAAAAAATTTGATCAAAATAAAATAAATCAAAAAGTAATAAAAGGAGAAAAAAAAATGTTTTTTTTTTTTTGTCTAAATTATCTTTTTTGTTTTCAGACAGAATTTACAAAACGTTCAACTGATATACGTACGAAACGTACACCTCTTCAAACCGATCCAACTAATCCAGATGATGTCGGTGGTAAGTTAAATCCATAGAAAATCTCTTCTAAGACATATGTTTATGTAAGATTACTTAACATTCTATTTTTGTTTCTTAGTTCTTTTTTTTTTTTTTACTATTTGTCTATAATAGATTACAATTGTAATTTATATTATAATATTTTTCTAATGAAATTTTATTTTTTAAACTTTCTTAGGATTTATTAATACTTCATTTTATCCTGATATTGATGGATTAGGTTCATTAAATGATTCAAAGCATTCAATGTCAATACCAAATCAACCATTTCATCCAATTCGTTGGAAAAATAATCAAGTATTAATATTAGTTGTATTTTAAAATTCTTTCTTTTTTGTTTTTGTTTCATTTCGTATAATAGAAAGATAAACCGACTGTATCTCGTCCATCAACTGGTACATCAGTACAAACAAGAACAATAAGTGCTTCAAGAGGAAGAATGCAAATTTTATCTGATGCTACGATTACACAAAGTAATGATGATGATTGTGACAGGAATGGTATGTTAAATAGAAAATGCAATATTTTCTGTGATGCTTTTTATGTGAATGAATGCATGTTGCAATGCAATAAGAAACAGAAGTTTTCTCAAGCTTTTTGCTTTTATTCGTATGCGCACCCTTTTTTAAAGAACACGATAACATAAAAAAGTATGATGAGCATCAGTACACTACTAAACGAGTTTATCATCATGGTCGTCGTAATAATTATGAACGAAATATTGCTTCGTCTGTAATACTTCTAAATAATCATAATGATGGTGTTGTGTCAAAAACTAAAAAAGAAGATACATCTAATAATTTTCTTCATCATTATCATTCAGATTCCGATGGTGATACTGAAATCACAGTTGTTAAACCTTTGACACCAATTTTACATCATAATAATGGAACATCATCATCATTAAATCAAGATAATAATAATGATGATAATAGTAACTCAAGTGATCCATCATTAACACTTGCATTACGCTCATTATTTGAACTGATTACAGAAGATTTGGATAAATTTGTTTATACACCAGCGCCTAATGGTCTTGGTGATATTCAATGTCGTATAACACGTGATAAACGAGGAATGGAAAAAGGTCTTTTCCCCATTTATTATATGCACGTTGAAAGACCTGGTGATGGTAAAAAAGTATTTCATTCAAATTTTGAAGAAAATTCATAAAGTTTAAGTTTGTTTTTTTTTTTTTTCATTTAGTTTTTTGTACTGGCTGGACGTAAACGTCGACGTAGTACAACATCAAATTATTTAATATCAACAGATCCAACAGATTTATCACGTGATGGAGAAAAATTTATTGGAAAACTAAGGTATAAAACTACTCTTTTTTTGTTAAATTAAAATTGAACATTTTTTTTTTAGAGCAAATATGTTAGGTACAAATTTTACTGTTTATGATCAAGGTTCAAATCCAAAGAAGAATATGTAAGTTCATAGAAAATAAATTCAAAGAAAAACAAATCTTTGGTTTATTTTTCAGTTCGATTGAACAACAAAGACGAGAATTAGCTGCAATTGCTTATGTATAATATTTATATTTAAAATAAAATTTTCGATTGTTTTTTTTTTTTTTTCTATTAATAAAATAGGAAACAAACATATTAGGATTTAAAGGTCCACGTCGTATGACAATTATTATTCCTGGTATGAGTAGTGATCATCAGCGAGTTGAAGTTCGACCAAAAAATGTAAGAATACAAATTTATTGATTAGTGATTTCCTTCTTTTTTTATAAAACAAAAAAAAATACAGGATTTGGAAAATTTAATCGAACGATGGAAACGTAATGACATGAGTAATTTACTTGAATTACATAATAAAGCACCTGTTTGGAATGAAGGTAAAATAAAAATAGACAAATTATTTTCGTAAAAAAAAAAACAAAACAAAAAATGATCATTTTTTAAGAAACTCAATCATATGTTCTCAATTTTCATGGACGTGTAACTCAAGCATCAGTCAAAAATTTTCAAATTGTACATGAGGACGATCGTAAGTAGAAAAAGCTTTTAGCACAATCCATTAGGGGATAAAATGTGAAACACAATGTAATTAATTATATGGATATTGTTTTTTCTCTCTATTTTGGGACACATTTCTTCACTATTCTTTTACTTAATCCCCTTGAAATGCATTAAGAATGTAGTTTATACATTATAACGAAATGTTATTGATATATGGTCCGTGGTCGTATATTAACGTCCGTCGCCATCTGCAATGGTCTTTGACTAGCGTGTTATGAGAGTGTATCAAGTTCAAAATTTTTGGACTCAGACCCGGCCGGGGCCAATCCGACGGATTCGAGCATTTGTAGGGAGTGAATTCAAGTTTTTACCCCTATACTTCAACGCTTCTTGTAGATCCTGTTCCGCAAGCTAATTTTTTAAAGTGTACTATAGTATGATTAATATTTTAAAAATAGAACCTTCTGTTATTATTACGAAAGATTTAATTAACTTTTTTTTCCTTTATTTGTTTATAGAAGAATATGTATGCATGCAATTCGGTCGAGTTAGTGATGGTAAGTTTCATTGAAAAGAAAAATAGGTGTATATTTAAAAGAATAATAAGCAAAAGCATAAATCAAGAGTATCGAACAAAGATGTTCATGTATTCATCCATTTCTAGGATCTGATACGTAAATCATTACTAAGTTTAGTCTAGAACTATTTATGGATTAATGAGTCGGACTTTTGCTTCTTTGCTAAAACTTACAAGTTTGACCTGGGAAAAGGTTTCTTATATATTAAAATATTGTAGTTGAAGATTACATTTCTATGGCAATGATTTAAGTAATATATCGAAGAGCTTTTGATTTTCAAAGAACTCCCTCGTAAATATTAGCCAAAGGAAATTAAAAGAGAAGTTTTCTTTTTTCTTCTTTATTAAATCAACATCACGCTATAGTATTATATCACCAATTTAGTCAAGTCTTTTTCAATTTATTGTGTAAACTAAAAAAAAATCTATGTCAAAAGACCATGATCAAATATGTTCATTAGAAAATTAATCATTTTGAATACTTTTACATATGTTTCCTGGTAATCAATGTTGTGTCTAATATCAGTAATGATGACGATTATATAGTTTGATATAAAAAACACTTTAAATATGAAGTAAAACATTGCACTAAGTAATCGTAAATGCAAGAGACAAATATTCAAATATGAAGAAATTATTGCTTAAGACTGTATCACTAAAAATTTAACCTGCGGATGATCCGTCACAGAAATAAAACGGTTCAACCCATAAGTCGGACAGGATAGAATGTTTTGCCTAGATTTTATTTTTAAATAAACACTACTCTCTTGTTGAATAAAACATTGACGTCAGATCTAGTAGTGATTGCTTATAAGGCATGTTAATTACAATTCTTGGTCTTTTTTTTTGTTTCTTAAAATTGCGTTGATAGAACGTTAAGGACAAATGATTAAATAATCGTTTTTCTATATTATGCAGGCTACATGACATTTAAGAAGAGTCTGATTTTTCACAATTTCATAGCATTTGTATGTACTGTTTCTTTAAATATCTTCAGATCTTGTAGTTTTTGCACGCAATCTGACATCATGTTTGAAAAACAAAACTATCAATCCTTCGAAATTGTAAATATCGTGTGACAATAATATGAGTATCAGCTCAATGTGAAAATTTGCTAACATAAATCAATGGTCATACATTAGAACTAACTTGTGATAGAGTTGATTACCAATGTTAAAAATATATGTGAGGAAAAAAAAGAAATGCTGAACTGAATAATTTCTATAACATTGTTTGAGAAAAATGAATGTTTAATATCACTACAGAATTGTTTTAGTTATTTGCTGATTAATATTTATATTTAAAGTCGACTTCAATTGTATGTTGATATATGTTTTGTTTTTTTTTGTTTACTATAAGCAAAATTTAAATAATGTTGAACTCAAAATACTTTTTTGTCGATTTTGGACGTCTTTGGATAATTTATTACGGTTTTTATTTATTTAATTTTTGTACTTAACTTATGAATGTAATATTCAGAAGTGCTGACATTGGTAAAACAAAAAAGAAGGGAGCATGAATATATTGTAAAGCGGGAAATAACATCATTAATGCAAAACATTTCACAGTATGCCTACATTATAATAATAATAATGAATGCTAGCTCATGCGTATAGAGGGGGCACCAAGAGAATTTTTTTAGAAATTTAATAAATATATAACAACATGAAGAGAATAATAGAGATATGAGATTAATAAAGAGAAGGAAAAAAACAAAGAATAGATGCATTAGATATGTTCTTGTTTTTTGTTATATTTATTCGTATTGATAAAAAAAAACACAAACATTTATTGTAAAATCAATGATACGTATGTTTTTACATCTTCTTTGACTTTATATGCTTTTGACATAAAAGTTTAAGAGATTGTACATGCAGATAAAATGACAGCAATGAAGATCTATAAGAAATCATTATTTCAATATTTGTTGCTGATTTTCTGGAAAGAAGAAAATAACTAAGAGAAATATGCAAAGAAATATTGGCGGAATACTTTGAAAGATGTATTTCGTTCGAATTTTAATCATTTCAACTTTCTAAAGGATCTATGAATATTTTCTATAAAAATTTCGATTGTGAGTTTCAAGAATAGTCTGTTATGCATTAAGATATTTATTTATTACTTATGGAAACTTAAAAATTTCTACCTAATTTTTAGATGTTTTCACATGCGATTTCAAATATCCATTATGTGCTGTTCAAGCATTTGGTGTTGCATTATCGTCGTTTGATGGAAAATTAGCTTGTGAATGATATGTTTCGTTTTTCTTATTTTTTTTTGTTCTATTGTACGCATTGTTTTGTCTTTATGTATTTGACTTTTGTTAATCATGTTTGGCTTTTTAATCAAGTCTGTCACTTGATTTTCGTTTTTCTTATTTATTGTTCTATTCTTTACGTATAACACTACATACACTTGGATATTATGGAAGTAAAATCAAAATTTACTTTGTATATATATATATATTCAAAAGATAAAGAATAAAGTCAACTATGTTTGAATGTTAGTATGATAATGACGTTTTTTTTTTCTCTCTTTTAACTACCAATGAAGATGACTTTTTACTTCTGTTCTACTTTGCTTTGCCAGTGGGCTGGATTTTCTTTTTTCTCATCGAAATGACATAGAGCTGAACAAGAAAGGCATTGATTCCTACTAAACTCTTGTGTGACTCGTTTTTTTTCTTCTTTCTTCCACTACATTTTGTGACTTCTTCTTGCTGCAAGAAGAGATGAGAAAAAAAAGAACTATGATGTAGAGAAAAGGAAAAGCAAGAAAAAGATGCTAGTTTTATTCTTTCTTTTTTCTTGTTGTCAACTCAACGAATCATGGGAGACTCTTGCGCAAAATTATTATTGATTATTTTAAGTCTATTCATGCCACCTATAGCTGTATGGATAGCTCGAAATAAAGTTTGTAGTTGCACTGTATGTGTTAATCTTCTTCTTACATTACTTGGTTGGGTAAATATTTTTCATTACAGGAGAATAATGAACATATATATATTTATATTTATGTTAAAGATTCCTGGAGTAATTCATGCTTGGTGTGTCATCTGTTGTTGTGACAACTTGGATGGTTAGCTTCAAAAGAAGATTAAAACGTTTTCATATTGTCACAATGTAGTTGAAACCTGTATATATATGTTTTAGAAAAGAAAACGTATTTTATTCGTACAAAAGATTTATTCAATATGTTTTTGATTTATTGTGAAAATAAAGATATGATTTGTTTGCATGTGTTTATTTGATTTATTTATTTTTAATGATGAATATGAGCTTGTTTTTTTTTTTTTTAGTTTAGATTGTTAATTGAATTTTTCTTAGAGAACAAATAACATTTGATTGTTTTGAATTTATTAAAAAATGTTAATATTAATTAACGTGAAACGATTGAATAGAAGATTGAACATTATGTTTAGTTCTTTTTTTCTTTATTCGATAGTGAATAGATTTTCTATGCTGTTTTTGTTTTGTTCAAGTTTTGTAATATGATAAGTGTTTGTCTTGAAATTATTTGCTCAATTTAGAAGTTTTAGGGAATATTTTGAAGGTTTGACTATTTAAACAGGGCTAAAATGTGATATTTATAAATCATTATCTATTAAACGGAATCGTGCTTACAAATTATGATTTATGGATTCAATTTAATAGTAAATAAGTATAAAAAAAAAAATAAGAAATAAATCAATATTAATTTTCACGTTAATAAATAATCATATTTTTAACTTCAACAAAATATAAGATCGGCTCAAAGAGTTTATTTAATCTAATGTTTGATTTTCTTGTTTTGGAAAAAGAAAATTATTATTTAATATTTTATTATTTAGACATCTGGTATGACAGTAAATTGTCTGACATTTTCATTAGACTCTAAAGAGTAGCCTATAAAAAATTACTGCTTTATTATTTCTACTATTTGCTCTCTTTTGTTCGCTTGATTGAAACATATTTTTATTAAAACAAAATTACACTTGAAGTTCTCTATACACTTACGTATGATTGAATGTTGAAGTTGTTGTTTAACATATACATTATACCAAATGAAAAGTAAAGACATACAAATTTAGTTTTTCAAGTGGAAAATCATTACAAAAATAGATAGAACGAAAAGTGATAGATAGGAGAAATTCAATAAAGACACAATTCAATATTACAAACTATGATACTGACTGTTTTATAAAATCGAAAAAAAAGTGATTGACTCGCTAAAGAAAATTTTGAACTTTTTAACGAAATTCTATAAACTATCGACTGTTAAACAACATTCCAAAGAATTACATTGAGTACATTCGATCCAATATTATGAGTTGATCGATTTCTAGGATATTTAACTCAAATTATATTCATATCTCATTGGCAAAATTCGGCATAATAATCAATTTACTCAGTAAAAACTTTTTTTTTGCATTTGTATCAACCTTTTGACTATTAGAACGAGTATCAAAAACACTGTTTTCAGCAGATTACTGAAGAATAAATATTCATTGGTTTTTGTGCAAAAAATTGCTGCAGTATATAATTCATGAAAACATTGTTATTTATTTACCAAAGTCTATTATATTATAATATTGTCTCATAACTTTATATCTTAAAAACAACCTCAGTTATAGAAATGCAAGTGCTGTTTTTTTGTTTAATGTCTTTTAGAACATGTATGAGAGTTTGTTTGTTTTTTAAAAAATCTACCCAAAATGAGATTTCTACTCCGAATTCTAGGTTAGGATATTAAAAAATACTGCTGAACACATAAAAATGCATCTAATAGAAAAATCAGTATTTCTTGAAGGTATATAACTTGTAAAAGTTCTAACTCTGTTGACTGAAAGAATTGGAACGTTTTAACACAAATTTCTTGCAACAAAAAGTTTTCCCCGAGTACATAACAAAACAAATAATATTATTTATTCATAGCAAGAACAAACAAAGTTATTAATGAATTGAATGACTACGTTGCCGTTGAATTTTTTTCTTTGAGTTTTTATCTTTATGGTGCATTGTTGTATTATCATTTTTATTTATCATTGATTTATATTCATTTTTAATTCTTTCAAATTCAATTAAAATTTCTTTACATTTTTCAATTGTTAAACCGGATTCAATTGAAGCTCGATTTTCCGCTGATATATCATCATTATTATACGTTGATCGATATGATGATTGTTGATTTTCATTAGAATTTAATAATGATAATGTATTATTCGAATTCGAATCATTTTTATGTGTTAAATTTTTTGCTCCAGCATAAACACCTCGAGTTAACCAAGTTATTGAAGCTAATGTACCAGCAACAGGTTTAATAACACTATTTGGTATAGCAACAACAACGCCAGCTGCACCACCTAATATTCCATGTCGTTGAAAACCTGCTCGAGGTTTATTTACTAATCCAGTTACACCATCTTTAATTCCATACCATACAGCTTGTCCAGCAGCTTTAGCTCCCGATTGAAAATTATCAATTTGTGGTCGTTGATGTTCATTATAATCTGTATATGGATCATATAATTTTGGTAAATATTCAAGTGCATCGGTTACATCACCATAAAATGATAAACAACCAATAGATGCATATGCAACACTTTTTCCAACACCTTTAAGAATACATTCAACACCATCACGTGCACCTATTATAAAATTACTTGAATTTTTAATATCTTTTAAAGCTTTTGGTGTATCAACAAATAAACAATTCAATGCTTTTTGTCCATGTCTTATTATACCAGGTGTAGGAAGATGATGACTATTATCATCAGATAATTTATTCCAATGATAAGTTGAATGTAAACTCAATTGTGATTCTTTAATCATACCAGCAGTAACAAGTACTTGTGCAACAGGACGTGAAATTTTTAAATTATAATCTTTTAAATAATAACATGCACCAAATGTTGATTCAAGATTACTTTGCATATTTCTTAATGGTAAATTAGAATGAAATGATTGAACAGCATTATCACATCCATTTTCATGTTGAAATGCATTTTGTAATTTTTCAGCTGCTTGACATACATCTGATTGATGTACTGTTTTAAATGCTTCAATTAATTCATTAACATTTAAATTTTTACCAGGTATAGGTCGTGCACCAGCCCCACTTTTCCAAACCATTGTTCCCCAAAAAAATTGATCACCAAAAAATGGAACAATTATTGTTGGTTTTCCAGCACGAAGACCAGCGGCAGTTGTACCTGCACCTCCATGATGACAAACAGCAGCCACTATAAAACATCAATAAGTTTTAAGAGTATTTAAAAAAAAAACAAATAGACATAATACCATATTGAAACAGCCAATCATGTGGACAATTATCGATTTTCAAAACATTATCAGGTAGTTGATCATCATCTTTAGCTAAACCAGATAATAAAGCTCGATATCCTGTTGCATGTAAAGCTTCTAAAACAATTTGTAAAATTCGACGTGAATCATGACCAGTAATAGAACCAAAACCAATATAAATTGGTGGATCACCAGCTTTAAGAAATTGAATAAGATTTTCAGGTGGTTGATAATTTTTTGCAAGATCAAGAAAGAAAAAACCAGATACATTTATATATTCAGGCCAATCAGATGGTTTAGGAACAAGAGAGGGTGACCAGCAATACGTATGTGGAACTTGCTCTAACATCATTGCATGTACTGCTTCACGAGTATGTAAATGTGCAAGTTGAAGAGTATCTTCACGAAATTCATTAATAAGATCATGCATACCAGACCATGTCTAAATAGATGTTAAACAAATAGACAAAACATTTTAGTTCTATTTCAATTATAATCTCCTATGAAATAATCGAGATTCGAAATAAAATGAAAAAAAAAAAACTGGCTGTAGTGAATTCTTTTTTTCTGAAACTTGTTGCACCTCAAACTTTAATTTCTTATTTCAATATGTACGATGCTCGTAGAAAAATATCCAGGTTGAAAAGTACTACCTTAAAACGACTACGAACTATGTCAAAACACGATTGTCATATACGATGTCATACGTTCAAAGATGAATAACGTATGCGATGAACGTAAATGATTATCGTATACAACCGTATTTGATCGAATTGTTGATTTCAAGTTCCTATCATTTTCGCGATCTAGAACCACATAATATACCCGAACACGATAGTATACGAATTTCGCATTCCTAATCCTGGGAAATGATCTCGCTAGTAAATGATAATTGAATGTTGACGAACTTTTTCAAGAAGATGAAAATTATTTTTTCACAACAGTTACTACTTGCTCCCGCGTAGGACTTCATACTCAACTCGAAGACTTTATTTAATATTCATATTTATACTCATATCTAACATTTATTACCATTGAATAGATTATTAGTTATTTTCTGAATTTCTCTAAGTCATTTCTCTACAATACTACTCAAATTTATTCGCCGATTTGTTTTTCTGCATTGCAACTAATTGTTGTAGACCTCATTTTAATATATACTTACCAACATTTCAATAATACCATAGGATAGTCTATTAAAACGATCAATTAATTCAATATCATCATTAACTTTACAAAATGGATGTGGAAAAGCACTTGTTGGTGACCACGGCATTGTAAACATTATATGAAGTGGAATTTGTAATTTTTGTGCACAATGTATATGACCATATGATGGTGGATTAGCAATAATAGCTTCAGCTATAAATGGTACACCTGTTTCATCATCATGTTCAGTACATGCTTTCCATGTAGATTTAAGAATATCAGAAATAATACGACGACTTTTTTTAACATCACCAGATACAATACTACTAACTGATGGAACAATACCAGCATTTTTAACCATAAATGACATTAAATCAGCTGGATCACCAGCTAATGGATAAAATTCAATATCATTTTCTCGAACAAATTTTCTAAATATTTCATGTGTAGCAAGACGTACTCGATGACCATAATTAAGTAATGATTTTGCTAATGCAATAAATGGTTGAACATCTCCACGTGTACCAACAATAAGAATAACTATAGCAAGACGTGGTACAGGACCAACTTGTAATACTTGTTTAGCATCATCAATATCTGTCATAGATAATTGAACCCAATCATTATCTTCATCGAAATGACATTGTTCATCATCAATATTTTGTATTGAATCAATAGATACATCAATAAGTCCATCAGCATCATTAAAACTTGCTGTATAATCAAGTTTTTTATGATATCGTTTTAATGTATTTGTATCAAAATCATCATAATTTAATTGACCAATACACATAGGTGACATAAGTATACGAACATATGATGAAAGTGAATATCCGTCTGGTGAACAAATAACAATAATATTATCAAAATCGGTATGTAAATAAGATGTTATTTCAATTGAATGTTGTGTAAGTGAATCAAAAGAAATAGGAACATGATTTAACCATACAATTATTTGTGGAACTTTTGTATAATTTAAATATTTATAATAATAATCAGTTAAAATAAAATTTAAATAAATATGTTGATGAACATCTGATTTATGTTTCCATTCAAATCGTTTACGATACCAATATGCTGATGAATCATGTTTTATTTCATTATGTGGTAAATCAATATTTGTCCAATGATTATCATTATAATTTATTGAAAAACAATCTAAATCTGGTGGTTGATTAAATAATTGTAAAAATTTCCAATCACGATCACAATGTATGACAACATTTGATTCTTTACATTCATTTGTTTCATCAATAGGCATTGTCTCTAGAAAAAAAAAAAAAAAGCAAAAATAACTGTTTGCACAAGAATATTTATATAATAAAAATGAAAAGAAAAAAAAAAGCGTAAGACTATATAAAGGAACGACAAAAAAATATCACTTTTTTTATGTTGAGATTTTATTGAGTACTTTTGTTTTTCGTCGACAAATATGGACTCTTCACCTCTGTACTATAAACTATTCTTTCGATAGACTTCATTCTAAACAAATTCGATATGAGAATGTGTGAATGTTGATTTAAGAATTATCATACATTATCTGTTATGTTTCTTTTTGATAAGAACAATAACAAAGAAAGATTGAATGCATAATTTTTTGTCTTTCTACACAGAACACAAAAAAAAAAACGGTTTAATATATTTTCAAAATAAGCGCTGTTAGCACATGGTATTGTTCCCAATTATTTATGAAAGATAAACTTTTTAGAATATTCTAATGTCTGAATAAATATATTCATTCCTGACTATAGAAAGTATATTGCGTCGATTTTATTAAACGAGGGGAAGGGATTCGTTAAGCGATAAAAATTGAGTATCTTATTTCACTAATAGTCAAATTTAGGTTTCAGAAGTCGATCGTCATTCGAAATAGACCATGAGACGTCATTCCGGCTGTGTACGCCGAACTCAAAACTCGATATTACTGATCTCCCATAATATGATGCCGTGCAGTATTTATATGAATGTTTCTTTTCTTTCATCACCTAATATATCAAATGAAAGTTCTTTCTTTTCTTGGTCAAATGACATGTAGGAGTATGGCAAAATATTATTCTTTTCTTTTTTTGTATTATTTAGATCCAGCTGCTTTCTTTTATATACAGTATGCGAACATATCGATTTACTTTATGTTATAAATCGTTCGATAGGATTTTCAAGTTTCTACAAAATGATATTATTCTGTTGACTTTGACTTGTCGACAAGGTACTTTGGTTAAACCTACAATACTCATGAGTCCGAAAATTCAGTAATGGTTCCCCCTCAAGATTACATCGAAAAATTAAGTCACTTCAAAATATTTTAAAATCTTGGAAAATCCAAAACCACAGATAAATAAATAATAAAAATAATGTTTTGAATGACTTTATTTTTTGGCATAACCTTGAGGAGATCAGGACGACATTTTTGGACGAAAATAAAAGTTATCGAAAGATTTTGTTACATATATAGATCTACTCAGTTTGTTATACTGAAGCCAAATCTATCATTGGTTTTTATAAGAAGCTTGATTATTCTGATCAAAAGTGATTAAATATTAGTCAATAAAAGGTAACTTTTGGCATCTATAAACATTGTGCACTTGACCAAAGTCAATGCAATAGTATTATTTTATAGAGCTTTCAAAAGCCTATTAAACAATATATAATTTAAAGTAGAGCGTTTTGCCATGGTTGTTACCATACTGTATATAAGAATAAATAGCATCATCTAAACAAAAAGAAAAAAGAAAAGAACAATATTTTGTCATACTCCTACATACCATTCGATCGAGGAAAGAAAGAACTTTCATTTGATATATTAGTTTAATTATAGGAACTAAAGAAAGAAAAGAAACATTCCATATAAACATTACACTGCATTATGCTATAGGAGATCGATAATATCGAGTTTTGAAGTCCGGCGTACACCGTCGCAATGACGTCTCACAGTCTGATTCGAACAGCGATCGACTTCTGAAACCTAAATAGAATATTAATGAAATAAGAAACTCAATTTTGAGAGAGAATTGATTTCATCAGTGAGAGAGCTCCTTCTCTCCTATATAACTCATTCTTGATATTATCAACTCTATTAATAAACATGAAAAGATCGAGAGATAATTCTTTATATGACGAATAATCCTCTAGAAATTCAATACGTAGTTCATCTCTAACAGCTGTGATCATCATATATCAACGTCTGTCATCATTCATGATGCGTGGAGGTTCAAAATTTTTCCTTTTAATACTTCAACAACTTTTAGATCGTGTTCCAAACGTAGCAAATACAGCCAACCCCTTATTTTATTTCGAATTTTTTGCTTTTTAGGATGGATACTCTTAATTCAGAAATCTTCCTCTCATAATTCATTTATGAAATTTTGAGAATTTCATTGGTTGTTCAGCGCACTATTGGGATTTAAGTCAAGTAATAGGTATGATGGAAAAAAATCAACAATACATTCTCAAATTGAACAAGCATGCTTGTAAATGGAGTGTATATAGATTTCATATAATTCGTCTTGGGTTGATGTTATATTGTTGACTATTACTAAAGATTGTTTCTATAAAATTAATAATGAAAATAATATTATCGTTTTTTTTTTATTATTTGATAAAATAAAATATAAATCATTATAGCATATTAGTTGTTTTTCTTTGTATAATTGTATTCATAACTGCTATTTGATTTCTACGTGTAATAAAACGTATATTTAATTGACGTTTAAAATAAATAAATAATGGTATTTTAGAATAGATTTCAGGTAAATTTAATAAACATACAAAAGGTAAAATTAATGATATAAAATAAAAAAAATAAAGAAATATTTCTTCTTGAATTTCAGATTCTTTTACATTATTTGATAAATTTTTCCATATATGTAAAAGTTCACTAATAGCAACTGGTATTGTACCAAGAAAATATAATATTGATATAGATATAAATTGAATAGTTATTTTTCTATGTTGACGCCATCGTATTGTTTGATTTCGTTGTCTTTTTCCCCATAGAAAACGAATTAATAAAATAAAACTAAATATAAATATTAATATGGACGAAAAAATCTTATGAAATAAATAATCAATTGATGATAATATGATATTTTTATGTATATAACATGGTTTACCACAAAATAATTCATCATAAATAAAATATTCAATATTAGAACAAGATGAATTTAAAAAAATAACAATTAAATAAAAAATAAATGTATATATGATAAGAATAATTAAAGGTAAATAATGAAAGAAAAAACGTTTATATGATGTATTAAGTAATTGACGATCATAAAAAACAAGTATATTACGTTCAATAGATGCCCACATCATTAAAAATGTTGATAAATTAGAAAGAAATGAATCAAGAAAATTCCATGCTAAACATAAATTTCCTTGAGTTTTTTTTATAAAACCAAAACGAAGAAAATGAAATGTTATTGATAAATCAGTAGTTATAAATAAAAAATTTATTATTAATAAAACTAATATAACATGATTATGAAGAGCTCGTCGTAATATTCGATTAGATATTAAATGATAAATAATAAACATATGAGATATAATCGATGGAATTTGAAAACTAATAAATAACGCTAATTTAATATTTCTTGACACATTCGTGTCATGGACAGATGTCATATTAAACTGATTCAACTTTTCTTGTGTCATCTAAAATAGTTCGTAATTATTTCAAAAAGAAAATTCTATTATTATATAGAAAGAAATAAAGTGTCTTTCTAGATGATTAATGGATTCATCTGGAGAACATGTAAAGATATATTTTAATTTGTAGCATGAATAATGATTCGTTAGAATAAAAAAAAAAAAACAAGAAACACTAATGATACTCCAAATAATAATCATATCAATTATTCAAGATAGAACAGAACAAATTACTATTTTTCAAAAGTGAACCTTACACAAAAAAGGAAAGAGCAAGATTTACCTCCCTTGTATGTGAATCTCAGCGTATTGTGTTATTTATTTGTTCATTAGAATACTACAAATAAATAGGCGAATTCAGGCAAAAAAAGGACACATCCACCTTTCATTCTTTACAAAAAAATATTTTTCGGAATAAGTTCTTTTAGCATATACATACGTAAAAATATTAGCTATTATTTAAAAAGTAATCCGCGACTATCTCTTTGATAAACGAAAAAAAAAAATCCGAAAACTTTAGGATAAGATTCTACGACATAAGCTGCATCTTCAGTTGAATTTTCAGTAAAATAAGACTCCAAAAATTTGACATAAAATCATTTTTTTCGTTTACATATTCGTATTCCATCACGTCACTGACGAGAAGTAAATCGACTGTTTGTTTTTTTGGAACAATCTAGGGCATGATCAGAAAAAATGATGTAGAGAAATTTTTCAACCTCAGCAGTTATCTACAAAATCTACTATTTAGTTTTGCCTGACCTTTTTTGTGTAGCATTATTAATGCTAGAGTTTTACTAATGACTCTTGTGAAAAATGATTTCTACGGCTGACTTTTCCAGGGTATTTCGAGTAACTTAACATATAAAAAATTAGCTCTAAAAAAGTTGATTATTCCAAGATATACGTGTTTTTTTTTTGTCAAGTCACGTTGCTAACGAAGGATGTTACTCAAAAAATACTTTTTCCTGTTATTTTAAGTGGAAACAAAAATAGGATATTAAATTTTGAGACATATACAACACGAACAATAATATTATGCGATAATATTATTGTTTTTTTTTCTTTGCATTTCTAAACTTAAAAACGAAGCGAATCAAACTTAAAATTACAGCGAATAAAGACATCATTCTATCATTGAAACTTCCAGGTCTTTAATGTTGCTTGTTCTCTCTCGATTGTTCTTTCCTGTGTTCATCTTCTTTTTTTTTTTTTTTTTTTTGATTTTACTAGATAAACTTTTGTTATATGTGTGTTAGACAATCTCTTTCTGCAAACATGAAGCAGTTAAATAAACATCATAGTCGTACTTAGCGGATAGCTACTTGCTAGGTTTCAAACAGTCGATTATGATTGATAACGGAGAAAAAGAAACTATATTTCAATAAATTACCATGTTAGATAAGTATGTTACAAAAGATATGTGTAAATCTTTTAAGATTGATAATGGAAAATCTCTCAAGGTGTTGACAAGTATAATTTTGTGTAGCAGAAACATTTTTCAATTTGTTACATAACTTCCTCATGATTGTGACATAAAGCTACGTTTTTTGAATAAATATACGGTAACTCGCAAAATTTTCTAACTAAATAGTAGATTATTTTATTTTATTTTGATGTGTATCTGGAAAGACTAGATGAGCTGACATGATCCGGCTTTTGTCAAATTACAACTCATAGTATCTTATATACTAATGAGAAAATTCTAGGTCACTTCATTTATGTGTTTAGTTTTTATTGATTAGACGATTGTAGTATGTCGATTTTTATTATTTGCAAAATGTTCCAAGTTGAAATTGTTCTGGTGATCCATAGATTCAATAGAATGAATTATGTTCTACATAATGAATAGTTTTTAATATAGTGTTCCTGCTAGTAAATGTCAAAAAGTCAGATTGTTCTGATTCAAGCCGGAAATTATCAAGTAAAATCTGACAAAAGCTAATTATTGTTCATAGAATGTTTAGCCAATCTTATTGTTCAATACAGCATTAGCAAGTGTACTATAAATTGAATGAGATATTCTATTTGAATAGATCTTTCATGTTGAAAAATTGTGTTGATTGTCTCCTATTTATACACTAATTACAGATAGACCTTGTTAAATAGTCTCATTTATTCATTGAAGGAAATATAAAAAGTTTCTTTAACAACTTAAATCTGCAGGAAATTTTTTTTCCGTAAAATAACTCTTATATTCAAAATACTTCCAGCAACAGACTCGATATGTATTTCATTAAATAAATATATGTCTAATGAAATTCTAAACTTCATCTTTTATCGAAATAGATGTAATGCACAAAAATGAGCTAGGTAGTTAATGAGATTTGCATGTAGGTTGTGACCGAGATAGCAATAAGCTTTTATAATGTAACAAGGGTGTATAAATTAAATGACATTATAGTTTTTGCTTTCAAATATAAGAGTTTTGTATGGAACATCTCTTACAAATTCATGCTTTTAAAACAAATTTGTTTTTATACTTTCTTCAACACATAAATGAAATTGTACAATAAGCTCTATCTGTCATTGGTGAATACATAGGAGATAATTAACACAATGTTTCAACATGAAATATTTATTTAACTAATTAGAATACCTTATGAAATTTTTAGGACGCTTGCTAATTCTATATTCAAGAATAAAATTAGCTAAACATCATATGAAAAAGGTGATGTTTTTGAAAAATTTCATTCATAGAACAGCATTTTCTCAGCAGAATTAGTGTACATATGCTGTTCAATACTTTTTTCTTAGCTAATTTAATCGTCTTACTAAGACAATTATCTCACATGTAGAATAAAGAAACGAGAGACACAATCAGGTATATATCTGAAAATCTCAAATCTATATCTGTAAATGGATTTATTTCAATCAGAATGACTTTTGTTAGAAAAACGTTGATATCTTGATTGTTAAAGATCGAAACATTTCCCAACAATCGAATGAACGTAAATGATGCCATATTTTCTTAAAATATGTTCATTTACTGATGAAAAAAAATAAGCATTAGTATTTTATAAGAATATGATAAAAGAAAAAAAATAAATAAAAGACAAACTGAAAATGAAAAAACAAACTATCAAGAATTTTATTCTCATAATGTTGGCAGAGTGATTATATTTTTCTGGTGAGAAAAGTTTTCTTTCACAATTCTTGATCATTTCTGAAAGTAATTGTGATATTTTGTAAAACTCAAATAACCGATTATTCAAATATTTGGTTGGACTTCTTTTGTCATTTTGTAAAAATTTTATATGATTGAAATTTGTCTTGCAATAAACATTCGAAACAGATGCAGAAAAGATATTGAAATATTATCTCTAAATTCTGACTTGCCAGAACTGAAAATCAGGAGAATACCTAGGCCTGATGGTAACGTACGAAAGAATAATGAAACAAATAGATAGACAACCAGCGAGACACAACTTTTCTTTTTCATTCTCTTTCTTTTGCAAGGGAAAAAATATCGATAACAAACGATTTCTCGATATATATGTTTTGGTGCAAGAGATAATATCAACCATTATATAGGCTACTATAGCATTTATGTCTACTCTGGGATTATTAATGGTAACTTATGCTGGAAATAAAATAGGACTATCTGAAAAAATATATACTTTTTGGTAAATAAGAATGAAAATTGATGGTTTTTTTTATAGAGTTTTTATGCAAAATTGATTTCATTCAAAATATAACTCAACTTTTCTCCCTTGGGCTATCTCCACTCGACAATACAGTGGATTAATAACCTGCCGTTTTCATTATTAGAAAAAGAAGACTGGGGCATCATTGCCTATTTAAAATTACATGGATTAGCTAATATACAAGTGGTCATTCAATGGCTGATCTTTTCACCGACATCGGTCTGGGCCATTTTCTTATCGAATTTTAAAGTTAAAAAGAATGGTTTGATCTACCCAAGAACGAACTCTGTATCGAGTTCCATTTAAAAGTTATGAACATTTTATGGAAAAGTTCGAAATATCTAAACAGAGGTATTTGTCTGTGCTAAATCAGATTGATTTCGACATTGAAATTCCATCTCTTTGCATAGTGAGATGCATAAAACAGAGCATTTCAAAAGTCTGGTCTTGTTGGCGCGAGATCAATCTGAAAATGGAAATAAATATGACAAATCGATTTAGCACGGAGAAATACAAATGTATCAACTATTCGAGTTTTTTTAAATATGTCGAAAAATGATTGCAAACTAATAATGAAAGGTCTGAAGTTCCTGGTAATGATCGAAATCGGAATAGAGTAGTCACAAATGCTACCTTTTCTATAGGGTTGGTTGATGAACTTTATCTTTGAGAATAAAAACTTACTATTCTTCTCCTTAGAATAAAGAAAATATATATCTATATGTGTGTTTTTCTTTTGTCCTTTCTTTTTCTTCATCTTCAGGTATTTCCTTGTTGTTCATGTTTTCTTCTAACTACATTCAAATTTTTCCCAGTTCGTGAGTATATATATAACGACTGTTTTGGAAAAACCACGTTCTTATTATCGATCAATTCGATCGAAATTCACCTCTAACATATTTTTATTATAAATTATTAGCAATTCATAATAAAAAAAAAAATGAACAAAATAAAAATTTGACCTCAGATTTGAATTCATGATCCTCGAAAAGCTTATAGTCTATGAAGTGCATCCAGATTTACTACTCTATCGGCTCTAGCAGAGTGAAATATGAACCATAGTATCACGAAGGCTTCTTTTTTATGCCGTTGTTCGATGATTAAGTTTTGGCGCTAAAGTTTGATCAGTTACAGGTAAAATGAAACTGTCTATAATTGTTTAGTATCAGATACATTGGATCGTTGGATTCGAATAATGCGGCACAGTTGTTAAAAGACAGACGACATGAAATCACTGTTCACATCTGTTTAATTGATGTTTCTTCTGTTCTTTGAGAAATTGAACATCTTAATGTTTTTCTTGCTGATTAAACATATCGCTAAGAGCTGAGATGAAAAAAAAGCAAAAGATAGTCGAAACCTCATAGAGCATTTTGGAAAGGCAACTCCTAGTACCAGAAGATCTGGTTCACTAGGATAATGGCTTAAAAATCAAGAAGTTCGGTAACCCTGATTGTACTTCAGAGCTATTGAATATTGTGCCGAATTAAATTTTAAAATAATGAAACCATCTCTAAATATATTTTTATAACTTTTCACGTCGAAATATATTCTTGTTTTATTAAATAATAAATTGTATGCATTGGTTAAGATCTTCAAAGTCACATATCAACTTAGNGATTTGTATTTTGGTAGTGTTTTGACCGCCGGTATACCGCGGTACCTAATAAAACCGCCGTTACACCGCGGTACTTAATAAAACCGCCGGTATACCGCGATACTCAATAAAACCGTCGGTATACCGCGGTACTCAATAAAACCGTCGGTATACCGCGGTACTCAATAAAACCGTCGGTATACCGCCGGTGTACCGGCGGTTTCTTCAAGTACCGCGGTATACCGGCGGTAGTTCATATAAATGTGCGACATGGGAATATCCTATGCTTAACTAATTCAAATAAAATAGTTGATGATTAGAATAAACAAAAACATGTGTTATAAGAAATAAACTTTATGAAAAACAAAAACAAAAACAATTGTCGGTTGCCATTGAGACTTGAAGAGTATTTTGATGTGTGATAGAAAAATTTAAGTCGAATTTGTCTAACGAGAACGTTAACCGGACGAATTTTCTCTTTCACAGAAGATAACGTTCATAATAAGAGACCCACAATATTACTAGATAGTTGCTCGTTTCCTAAGTCTAGTCGTATTTAAAAGCCTTTTTCTCATCATATTTTTATAATCAATCAGACGAAACTGTTTTCAAAGTATTTCTATGAAAATCCTAAATAGCTTTTGTGAGAAGAGCTCATATCATATAAGAGAATATAAAAGTGTACGATACAAATAAGGATTCAAATCAAGTCTAGTGACGTTTCGCAACGGAATATCAGTTAATTTGTATTTTCCACTTTCGAATGGCAATAGCAATGATATCAACAATTGATCATCAGAGTTTCTACAGTTCTCTAAATGAAAAGTAAAATTTTACATTTAAAACATTGTTGAATTCAAGTTTAACTGAATTTCATTTAAAACAAAATAAATATTATGCTGGCAAGAAACTATTATTCTTTGCCATACCATTTTGATTTACCATAATCATTATTTTCGTTTTCTTTTATTCAAATCCATAATAATCAATTGTTTATATTAAGTCCTCGTACTACTCATTCCACATGAACGATATTACTTATTTTTAAATAAATTTATGAATAGAAATGCTATATACCAATATTATTCGGTACTGAAGCGCGTCGGGTTCAAAATTTTTGGACACGAAAGTGATCCTTCCTTATAATATCATCAATAAATTGTTTTCTTATCCGTCTTGATAGTCACTCCGATGATCGGTCATACTTTTTCGACTTATTTAGATTGAGCCACTAAACAGCACGTTCTAAGTTGTTACTTTTCGAGTAGCAACTGTCGGGTAGATTTGTATGCTGTGATCAATAGAAAATTTCCCGACCTAGACAACTCACATGGGTCCAAGGTCAACTTGATGAGCTCTATTCGGTACTGACATTGGTAATATTCGTTTTACTAATGAGAAAAGTTAAGTCTCATAGTTACACGAAGCTTTGATTATAATGAGATTTTCTGCATATTTTATAAATAAATTTATTACGAATCAAATTAATATTTACTCATATGAACTTTGATGAAAAAAACATTTGGAAATAATTCATTCAATTATTCAAGAGATCGATAAAGAGATGGATGTAAATTTATCCGAATACATCGAAAATGTGCTAAATTAATTACTTTGTCAGGTAAACATTAATGACGAATGAAATTTGCATCAACAACATATTTTCAAATGTTTTTATCAGTTTCATATAAACTACTATTCTTAAGATCAATTATCAGTTTTTTAAGTGATGATTAAGATTATTTATAATCCACTTTAGATAAGGAAATTCTAAATAATTTTTAGCGCAAGTTTTCAAAGTGAAACATTCTAGTTTTGGTGCCTATAACAGAAAATGAAAATCATAATTCCGACATACATTCTATTGCATTTATTCCATTTCTTGAATATATTCATTTTATAACAAATCAATTTGGCAAATAAAAAACAAACTCTCGTGTTTATTAGAACAAATTCATGGTTTTTAATAGTGGGTGTGGCTGTGGCTGTGCGTATGAGTGAAGAAAAAGACTCATCAATCCCTATGCTTACACCCGGTCCACACCGCACCCACACTGACACACACCCATATCCTCATCAGATACGGCTATGGTAACAGCGTGTCTTTTTACATTTTTCAACGATAAAGGTGGATTCAAAAATCTTTTGAGAATAAACTATTCTGGGTAAAATTTCAAGCAAAACTGTAAACATCATTTTTTTTCCGAAAAACAATACTTTCGTTATGCTGAATTTCGGTAGGATACAATTTCTTTAAACAAAATATCTCTGCGTAGTTAACACGATCATGCATCATCAGACAAGGATATGTGTCCGAATTAATCAATTACCGTGTTGATGAAAGTCAATAATGAAATTCATGCCAATCTTCTTTTGTTGTTCCTGAGAAAAACTGCAACGTTGCGCTGAAAAATGTAGCATCTCAAGGCAAGAATCAGTTAATAAGAGGAATGCTGTTCAGAATATTCATTAGTCTTTAGGGTTCATTGCCCCAGGCGAAAATAAAAAGATTAATCTGATGGATGACTTTGCTTCTTATGATAACCAATGATATTACTTCTTATTATATTAGAAGTTTATTATTATCATCAGAATCGCACTCAACTATTTTTGCAAGTGATTTGCAATATGACAAAAATTAAAATTTATGGAATGCTGCATGTTAACGAGTGATCGACGAAAAATAAAAATGATAAGGCATAAATAATGTATGACAGATATTATAAATTCAATTCAAGATCTATAATATTTATATAAATCAAAAATAAAATTTTCATTATCGTTGCTGTTATTATGTTTTGATTTAGTTATATATTTATTTTTCTTCTTGTTTTAATAGAGTAACAATGAATTCATTGTTAAACGTACTTGTTACCTCATCGTGTTTATATCTTTTCTTTAACAATCAAAATAACAATAACAAGCAGAACCTTAAATCGATTTTATTTGCCGTTTTTTCAATGTTTCTTTTTAGTCATGAAATATATTTGATTAAATGATTGAATTGAAAATCATAACGACGGCAATGATGATTGAAATAATATAATTTCGTTTATGATCATTCAAGAAAAAAATAATTACCAGCTGCTTTTTGATTCATATCCTAATTAATACAAAAATATAAAATAGTTTAAGAAAAAGATTTTTTTTTAAATTAAATTTACTTTAACAGATTCTCTTTTATTAATACGTGGTCGAACATTTTCTGGATCTCGTCGAAATATTATTCAAGCTGTTTTAAAAATAAATGTATACCAGGTACAAGTGCTTGTGGTCTAGATAAAGAGAAAAATTATATTTTTAAAAATTTCGACTAATTTTCATACTCAGATGCATGAGTTTTAACCGACGGTTTTCCATCAAAGACAATAACACGATCAGCCAAATATGTTGCCATGATAAAATCATGTTCAACAACAAAGCCTACTTTCTTACAATGAAGAATAAATCTAGAAGAATTTTACTTTATATTTTCTTTGCTTTTATTTTCACTACCGTTTAATAACTCGTGCAGCATGTAAACGTTGTTCGGGATCAAGATAAGTTGATGGTTCATCAATTAAATAAACATCAGCTGGTTTCCCCAAACATAAACATAATGCAGCAAGTTATAATTCACCACTGAATAAATTTTGAACCTTAAAAAAGAATATTTTAAATAAGAAGAAAAAAACAAACAATATCAAGATTACCTCTTGCTCAATAATATTATCGATTTGAAGTGGTCGTGAAACATCCGTTTGAAATTGTGGATGAAACATTGCTTCACGAATTTTTGAATGAAGTAAATCACGAACTGTATCAGTAAATTTCGAACTAATCTGTTGTGGTTTATAGGAAATATTCAAGTGAGGTATTTCGACTAGGTATTTAAAAGAAATTTGAAGTTTTAATATGAAATTTTGGAAATTAATTAAAAAGTTAGTTAACTTATATCCTGAATAGAAATATGTAGAAATAAGTCTTTTTTTTTTCAATTCTGGTTTACGTCTTTAGGATCTGAATTCAGATGCTAAATTTTTTCCACCAATATCTGGCACTCCTGTGCATATGAACAAATGAAAGATCAAAGTTTTCACTATTTATTGAGGATGTGGATATGGATCTAATGCTTCTCTAAGCTCACACCCCACCCCCATCCGAACCTTTTTCTAATCTCAATATCAAATGTAATATGAATGAGTCAACATGAAACTCAATGTCTCCAATATTTTGGTCGTTTATCTCAATCTAGAGGAAATTATTTTTGATGACAAAATTTCAAAAGAATGGTCACACATATCTCTAATTTTGATTAACTAGGATAAAATACAAAGAAATTTTATATTTATAAATGAACTCACCTCCATCATTGGGTTCTAAATTACCAGCTAACATTCGAATCAAAGTTGTTTTACCTAGAAATAGATAAATATCAAGATTTTATATCCAACATCTTTGTATTTTTTTTTTTAAATTTTTCTACCAGTTCCATTTTCTCCAAGTAAAACAGTAATTTCCGATTCTGTAAATGAACCAGCATCAACAGATAAATCAAAAGAGCCTAAAGTTTTTTTTCATAGCTGGATAATAATGTTTCGATAAACGATTAACTTGATCCTCAGGTGCTGTTTCAACAACTTTAAACGTTAATCTAACATCACGAAAACGTAAATTTTCTGTTCGAATAAAACCTTCCAAAAATATATTAATACCTACAAACACAAACACAAACAACAACATCCAATATTAACTGAAAATAAGTAATATTTTTATTTCTATTGAACCTTCACAAACAGAAAAAGGCATTGTTACAACACCATAATGACCAGGTGAACCATATAAAACACAAATAAAATNAAATGATTGAATTGAAAATCATAACGACGGCAATGATGATTGAAATAATATAATTTCGTTTATGATCATTCAAGAAAAAAATAATTACCAGCTGCTTTTTGATTCATATCCTAATTAATACAAAAATATAAAATAGTTTAAGAAAAAATTGTTTTTTTAAATTAAATTTACTTTAACAGATTCTCTTTTATTAATACGTGGTCGAACATTTTCTGGATTTCGTCGAAATATTATTCAAGCTGTTTTAAAAATAAATGTATACCAGGTACAAGTACTTATGGTCTATATAAAGAGAAAAATTATATTTTTCAAATAAAGTTTCGACTAATTTTTAATACTCAAATGCATGAGTTTTAACCGACGATTTTCCATCAAAGACAATAACACGATCAGCCAAATATGTTGCCATGATAAAATTATGTTCAACAACAAAGCCTACTTTCTTACAATGAAGAATAAATCTAGAAGCATTTTACTTTATATTTTCTTTGCTTTTGTTTTCATTACCGTTTAATAACTCGTGCAGCATGTAAACGTTGTTCGGAATCAAGATAAGCTGCTAGTTCATCAATTAAATAAACATCAGCTGGTTTCCCCAAATATAAACATAATGCAACAAGTTGTAATTCCCCACCGGATAAATTTTGAACCTTAAAAAAGAATATTTTAAATAAGAAGAAAAAAACGAACAATATCAAGATTACCACTTGCTCAATAATATTATTGATTTGAAGTGGTCGTGAAACATCCGTTTAAAATTGTGGATGAAACATTGCTTCACGAATTTTTCAATGAAGTAAATTACGAACTGTACCAGTAAATTTCGGACTAATCTGTTGTGGTTGATAGGAAATATTCAAGTGAGGAATTTCGACTAAGTATTTAAAAGAAATTTGAAGTTTTAATATGAAATTTTGGAAATTAATTAAAAAGTTAGTTAACTTATATCCTGAATAGAGATATGTAGAAATAAGTCTTTTTTTTCAATTCTGGTTTACGTCTTTTGGATCTGAATTCAGATGCTAAATTTTTTCCATCAATATCTGGCACTCCTGTGCGCATGAACAAATGAAAGATCAAAGTTTTCACTATTTATTGAGGATGTGGATGTGGATCTAATACTTCTCTAAGCTCACACCCCACCCCCATCCGAAGCTTTTTCTAATCTCAATATCAAATGTAATATGAATGAATTAACATGAAACTCAATGTCTCCAATATTTTAGTCGTTTATCTCAATCTCGAGGAAATTATTTTTGATGACAAAGTTTCAAAAGAATGGTCACACATATCTCTAATTTTGATTAACTAGGATAAAATACAAAGAAATTTTATATTTATTAATGAACTCACCTTCATCATCGGGTTCTAAATTACCAGCTAACATTCGAATCAAAGTTGTTTTACCTAGAAATAGACAAATATCAATATTTTATATCCAACATCTTTGTATTTTTTTTCTTAAAATTTCTCTACCAGTTCCATTTTCTCCAAGTAAAACAATAATTTCCGATTCTGTAAATGAACCAGCATCAAAAGATAAATCAAAGAGAACCTAATTTTTTTTCATAGCTGGATAATAATGTTTCGATAAACGATTAACTTGATCCTCAGGTGCTGTTTCAACAACTTGAAACGTTAATCTAACATCACGAAAACGTAAATTTTCTGTTCGAATAAAACCTTCCAAAAATATATTAATACCTACAAACACAAACACAAACACAAACAACAACATCCAATATTAACTGAAAATAAGTAATATTTTTATTTCTATTGAACCTTCACGAACAGAAAAAGGCATTGTTACAACACCATAATGACCAGGTGAACCATATAAAACACAAATAAAATGCGATAAATAATCGAGTACCGAAAGGTCATGTTCAACGAAAATATGTGTATCTTTACAAAAAAAGAATAAATAACAAAATTTAGAATCTAACAAATCAAATGAATCTCTTAACATGAGATCGACAACTATTGTTTGTGTTCACATTGAGTCTACAAGGAAGTATTGATAAGACTAAGCAAAGGTTTGTGATCATGGACTTCTGGAATCAAATTTAAAATCACTTTTGAAATTTCGACTTGCTATTCATCCTACCGATAAGTCTAATAGCTCTTAGAATATTCTGAAAATTTCAGTCGAAAACAATACTCGTCTATCGAGATATTGAATCTTCAAGAGAAACTGATTTTTTGTACAAAGCGGTCATTTACGTTGGAAATTCAATATCTTCACATATAAACATTCTTTTCCACTGAAACATCGAGACTATTCAATGGGTCGTCAGACCTATCTACGGGTTGAATATCGGGTCGAAAATTTAGTAAAACAGTTATAAATCGACTCCACAGGTTCATGGTCGCGAATCCTCTTTTAGTTCTATTGAGTCCTCCATGCGTATTCAATATGAACTATAACGATAGGTATGAGTTCGATGGATTCCCTTGTTAGTAATCCTACCATGCTTATGTCATGATTATTTGTTCAAAACATATGTCATATAATTTTTTACAAATACTTTTACTAGTGTGAAACAAAAGAGATCATCGTTGGATAGCCATATTATCTAGTCTGGTTGATATTAATTTCAAAAGTAAATGCTTATATATTAATCAGAAAATTTCGATTTCGAAACACAATGGCAAGAAAAAAATTGATCGTTGAATTTAGAAACTCATCGATCTAAAGTCCAACATTTGATCTATTCATATGTAAACCTGAAACAACTAGACAAGATTTAAAAAATACTATTATATAGTCGTGCGTTCGTTATTCAATATTGATCATTATAAACTCAGCAAACAAATTAAGCGTACAAGTAGAATTTTACTAATCAGATATAGTACATCACTCATGAAAACTAAACAAGAAATTTGTAATTGAATATGTGATCTTTTAAAGTAACTATTGATAAGAAATATAGACGACAAAATGTTATCCTAATCGTACTTTAGAACTGAAATAAGACAATGAATTTCGGCTGTGGTCTTTAGGTAGACTACAGAGTTAAATGTCAAATTACTCTAAAAATACATTATTTCTTCAACGATACGCTAAAAGTTCGAAAAATATTAATAATTCATTACAATCTCAATACTGCACATAGTCTCAATTCAAGAGGGATTAAGTTAATTATTTCGGAAGCTTCCCTCATTTTAATTTTTCTTGCTTCAACACTAGTAATATTTTAGAAAGCTTAAGATTCGCAGTTATACTGATATCTTTCTTAATATAATACTTCTTATATATTTGACTGAAACAATCATGCATTTTTCTATTTTACTTTCAATCATAAAGCAAATATAATTCATCTTTTTTCGATAAATAAGCATCTAAGAAGTTCATTGATTCTTTGCTAATAAAAGAAAACAGTCAAATTTACCGATTTTCTCGAATAACATCCGAATGGCCAGAGCAGCTTTTAAACGTTGTTTAATATCAAGATAACTTGATGATTCATCAAACACGAATATATCTTCTTTTTGCATACACACCATGGCACATGTAAATATTTGAAATTCTCCACCTGATAAATC